AACGGTGCCAAGAATGCCAAAAGCATGTAGGGATCCAACACGTCCCTGTCAGTGAGTTACACTCAATTATTAAGCCTTGGCTATTTAGAGACTGGGCATTATATTTGACTGGGGAAGTAAGACCTACATCATCTAAAGGTCATAAATATGTCTTAGTAGGCATAAACTATTTCATTAAATGGGTCAAAGTAGTGCCCTTGGTGAATGTTGACCAAGATGCCTTAATCAATTTCATTCAAAGTCACATCATGTGCAGGTTTAGGATTCCTGAAACTATAACCACTGACTAAGATTTAGTTTTCACTGGTTGAAATATGGTTGAGTTTGCTTTAGAATCAGGAATCAAACTTCTAGCCTATATCCCATATTATGCCCATGTGAAAGGCCAGGTCGAAGTTCCAAATAAGATCATAATTGGCCTAATCAAGGAACATGTAGGTAAAAAGCCAAAGAACTGGAATAAGACCTTAGATCAAGCACTTTGGGCTTGTCGAATATCCCCTAAGGAAGCAACTAACTCTACACCTTTTTTACTGGCATATGGGCATGATGCAATTTTTTCCTTATGAGATATACTTACAGTCAGTAAGAGTCCAAAGAAAAAATGAGATTCTTGCCAAGCATTATTGGAGCATGATAATGGATGAGTTGGTTGACCTCGGCAAAGAAATTTTAGTTATCCGGGACATTCTCATTAGACAAAAGAAGGCAAGAATTCAAAAGAGTGGAGGTACACTTTCTTCATACCGAAGAATTCTTTACAACTCAATCCATTTTTCACTTGATTCATCAGTGGAATAAAAGACGACATCTGCCTCGTGGATTAGGTACTTGGGTAGTAGTTGGCTCATACCAAATTTCCTAGCCACCAAGTTTGGCTGGTAGGCAGCTGCCCTTATTACATGCTAATCAGAGCTGAGTTTTGTCAATAGAAGAGAGGGATGAAAGCATTCCAACAAAATGTTATGAATTTCCCTCTCTTCAATGTGTTAAGGATGTGGGAATGGTTTTCTAAACCATCCAGACCCACATTGTCGACCCAAAAATGGTGTCATAGTGGAGACAAACGTTTTACATTTGTAAAACACATCAAAGTACGTTTCAAAAACATCCTTAGATACAAATTTTCCATCATTTGGAGTAAGATGGGCAAGCCTAAAACCTTCGACACCCACCTCTATTTAGGAGGGATCCTAGTTTTCATAAAGGGTTCGAAAGTTGCATTAAGATACAATTGCAGGAGCCGTATAGGACCACCCATTTGGAGACTTTCGGGATTCTTTCGTTCCGTAAGGTCTCGAGATGATATCCCCAAGGATTCATAAAGGCCACATAAGATTAGTTTGTTGAGGAAAGCGTTCCTCCTCTAATGAAGTTAGGTGGCCAGGGGTACAAACATTTTGGCCACATGGATGGAGCGGGAGCATAAAATTCGGCAAGAAAGCTAATAAGTGAAGAAATCTATGTGTTCACGATCTCCTAAAAGTTCTGTCAAAGCATAATGCTCGTCGATGAATGTGTTATAATTAGTTTTGTCAAAAAACAAACTCAGGACCGATCTTGGTAATTGTTGAATGTTTAAAGGATTCTCCAGTTGGCTTAATACCAATAATAGCAGCAATGTCAAAGAGTGTAAGGGTTACCATGCCACAAGGTAGGTGAAAAGTGTTGGTAGTAGTCTCCCAGAAACACATGGCATCAAGGAGCGTATGGGGATTGTACCTAGGACCAACTCTTGAAAGTTGTATCATATCAAAAATACATTGGTCTTGCCATATGTATTTCTTTTTATTTTCAACTCTATCCAGCCATTGGATATAGTTAGAGTCATTGCCAACATAAGGAGATTACCTAAAAACCTTATTCTTCAAAAATCTAAAATCAAATGGTTTATCATGGAAAAACAGAGGTTCACATGAAGTGTAGTTGGGGAAGAAGTATTTTAGAACATATGGTTTCCTAATACGCATAGGAAGAGGACCCATGAAAGTGTGAGTGGTACCTGAAATGGAGTAGGGGATTAATGCATCAGTATACCAGAATTTTCTTTTGTTATTGTCCATGGGAGACTCCGGGACGTATGTGCAATCATTCATAACCAGAGGTTCTTCAATGTGATCATCAAAAGAAGGGTGTGGAGTAGTTTTTAATGCATTTTTAGGAGCCATTGTTGATCTTTAAAAGCTTTTTGGGAAGAAGATGTCTGGGAAAAAGAAAACAAAAGACAGAAAAACTCTCTAAGGTTTTTCAGTGAAGGAAATGGTCAAAGAGGAGAGATTTGAGGAAGAAGCAATTAAATATCCAAAAGGGGGAAGAAAGAACGTTTCCGTTTTCTCTCTATAAATTTGGACAAATGGAAAGTTCAAATCGACGTTTGGCAACAAGGGTCATGGGAAAAGATGAAAAATGAAATTAAATGATTTTATTTTTAATTTCATTTAAGTTAGTAGCTCTTTAATTTCCTAGGAAATTGAAGATCGTGATGATCAGTCGTACACATGACTATGACGTGACGGTTTGGTAGAAAGTTTTCTTGATGACTGGAAACATCTACTTTATGTGATGTGTACATGTTATTGGAACAATGTCGAAGAGTTACAAAAACGCCACAATTCTCCCATTTAACACATGTGATCAAAAGTGGCATTTTTATGGGGCATCTGTTAGCTTGGAAATGCCAGCGAAGAAAAAGTCCAAGCAAGCTACGTTGAGAGATGTTAAGTGTTAAAGAGCATTTATTGATAAGTTTCGACAAGAACAACCACATTAATGAAGGCAATTTCAACCACCATGGCGAGCAATGGTTTAGAAGAATCACAAGAACTTATCCACACGATCAAGATCAATCTCTTCAAAACATGTCAAAAATATCGAAAAAGGGCTTGGACGAAATGTTTGGATTTGATAAGATCACTAGTTACCTAGGACTTAGCTATTTCTTAAGTCTAACACAATTAAGTGAAGGGGTGTTTCGATATGGGTTGAACAAATACTCTTGAAAGAATTTATTTGCTTAGAGCAATTATGAATGTGGGATTATGGTTTTCAACAATTACAAGCTCCGAGATGTGGAAGCGCTTCAGAAGATTGAACTATATGTTCTTGATACATGTCCCTTTTCTAGGAAGAAAACTGTCGGAGACAGTTATCTTTAGACTAGTATAAATAGTAGACTCATGCATTGTAATCAAAGTCACAAAGTTTATATACTTCTCTATAGAATTGGAGTATCTGAGTCAAATAGCGAAGCATTTTGTGAGGAACATGTATGAGTCTGCGTCCCTTTCTTTCATTATCTTTATGTTTCCTTAATTGAAACACTTTGTTTAATGTCATTTGTTGCACTTTTCTTTCATTATTTTCGTCCTAGTCTTTTCTTTATTAAAGTTTGTGATTATTTTGTCTTTATACAAACCTTTACATTCAATTCGCACACACGTTTCCTTGTACATTTATCTTGCACAAATTACTTCCAAGATTTTTTCGAGTTAATCTCACAAGTAAACTAAACTCATGATTGTTTGCTAAAAACACATGCGAACAAATTGTTGAGAATCAAGTGTGAGGAAGAAGTCTCACATTGATTAGAAAAGGGAAGATTGAATACTTTATAAGTGAGTGAATCAACACACCTATCACCTTAAGGTTTTAGGTGGATATGTGACGTGTCTCTCACAAAAGATGTGCCCCAAGTAAAGAATGTTCCATCGGAATAGCCCTTAACAGTGGTATCAGATCTTTTGGTTTCGAGTAAAGGGACCAGCTTACTTGTATCGAAACACTTCCTGCAGGTGGTGGGTAGAAGGACCCACACACCTATCACCTTAAGGTTTTAGGTGGACATGTGACATGTCTCTCACAAAAGACGTGTCCCAAGTAAAGAATGTTCCATCGGAATTGCCCCTAACAGTGGTATCATATCCTTTGGTTTTGAGTAAAGGGACCAACTTACTTGTATCGAAACACTTCCTGCAGGTGGTGGGTAGAAGGTGTTACGTTGAAGAGTGTCAACGACGATACAAGTGTAGCTTCCACGTTCTATTATAGACTCACACTTGAGGGGGAGTGTTGAGAATCAAGTGTGATGAAGAAGTCTCACGTTGATTAGAAAATGGAAGAACGAACACTTTATAAGTGAGAGAACCCACACACCTATCACCTTAAGGTTTTAGGTGGATATGCGACGTGTCTCACAAAAGGTGTGTCCCAAATAAAGAATGTTCTCTCGGAATTTCCCCTAACACAAATGGACTAGGATTTATGATTTTATAATCTTATTTATTTGGTTTTCACAAATTTTTTTTGCAACAAATGAACTTGTAAAAAATAATTATACCATTTTTGTTCTGGTATGAATATTGTTTCGTCACTTCAAATTCAATTTTCCCGCCATAATCAACCCAAAATTTCCAAAAATCTTCGGTACTATCAAAAATCATTTCAAGGTTTGGTTTTTAATCTTCTTGCATTATGCATGCAAAATCATGCATTTTATTTTATCAAATAAAAAATGTAAACCATCATTTTAGATTTTGCTGAAAAATCCTTATAGCTAATGTATCTATTTTGAATAACTTCTTATAATATAACATAGATAGCTAAAATATTAGTATCTACATAAGTAATTATAGTAAGAAAGGTTGTGTAGGTGTAGTTGCTGGAAGTTGAAAGACAACATAACCAAAATAATATTCCTACGTAAACACAGTAAAAAGAGCCATGTGTATTTTCTCTCTTTTCTGTACCACTTTCTTATTATTTTAATTCTTAATATATCAACCAATGGATTTTGGATAGGAGAGATGGCTGAATGAAATAGGACAGCAGATAATCCAATTCAAAAATAATTGTAGAAAATTAGTGTCATGTAACTATTCATAGTCAAAGTCTTCCTACCAATCACATGTGCACCAAAACAAAGCACTTCACTTCACTTCAACTTACTTGGATTGCCAAGCAAAGTTCTTGCAAGAGCTGTTTGATGAAAACATTGAAATGATATGGCAAAAACTGTTGTGTCATTTGTTCTGGAACAACTTGGCCAATTTGTATTAAAACATGCTTTCCGATCAGTAGTAGAAGAAAAAAGTTTGGTGAAAGGAGTTGAAAGTGACTTCAATGAAATCAAAGATGAACTTGAGAGCATCCATGCCTTCCTCAAGGATGCAGACACAAGGTATGGTGATGATGGTGGAGGAGGAGGATCCAACGGAGTTAAAACTTGGGTGAAGCAGCTCAGAGAAGTATCTTTTCGCATACAAGATGTCATTGATTACTACATCATGTATGAGGCAGAAAAAGTCAACCATCCTAAAGCTTCTGAGATTGCTTCTGAGATTCAAGACATCAAGTTATCACTTGGTAAAATCAAAGAAAGAAGTACAAGGTTTGAGTTTCGGTCTGAAGGTGGATCAGGAAGCTATAGAGGGCTTAAAGCTCCTAGAATTGGCGACCCTCGAATGGATCCTTTTTTCATTGAAGAGACTCAAGTTGTAGGGTTTGAGTTCCCAAGAGATGAATTGGTTAGTCGCTTGGTCGGGGGAAACGATGAGCTCATGTTGGTTTCGGTGGTTGGTATGGGAGGACTCGGGAAAACCACTCTCGCCAAGCATGTTTTTGATAACGAGCTAGTTAGAGGGGACTTTCCTTGTAGATGTTTCATCACGGTTTCTCAATCATACACTATCAGAGACTTGTTGATAGAAATGATAAAGAAGTTTTGCAAGATCTGCAATGAGCCTAATCCAGAGGGTCTGCATAACATGGATGATGAAAGTTTGATTACTAATGTCAGAAAATACCTTGAGCCTAAAAGGTACTTGGTTATATTTGATGATGTTTGGACAGATAATTTTTCTGATGAGATTAAACATGCCTTAATTAATAATAAAAGGGGAAGTAGAATCCTTGTGACCACTAGAAGCATGCATGTAGCAGTGAATTCTAAGAAGTCATTTCTTGTTCATGTTCATGAGCTACAATCTTTGCCTCTAAACAAAGCATGGGAACTGTTTTGCAACAAGGCATTTAGAGGGCAGTGTCCAACAGAACTTGAGGATGAATCCAAAGAAATTGTTCAAAAATGTGGAGGGCTACCGCTAGCAATTGTGGCCATTGGTGGTCTTTTGTCAACAAAAGCCAAAACCATATTTGAGTGGGAAAAGGTGAGTCAAAGTCTGAGAATAGAGTTACATCGCAATGTGCATTTGACTGACTTAGTAAAGATTTTATCTCTTAGTTATGATGACTTGCCTTTCCATTTGAAATCATGCATGCTTTATTTTGGTATATATCCCGAGGACTACATAATCAACAGGAAGAGACTTACTAGACAATGGATAGCTGAAGGGTTTGTTACGCAAGAGGAGGGAAGAACTTTGGAAGATCTTGCTGAAGAGTACCTCATAGAGTTCATACATAGAAGTTTAGTTAGTGTTTCCAAAGTTGGATTTGATGGAAAAGTCAAAAGTTGCCAAGTCCATGATTTGATGCGTGAAGTGATCATTAGAAAAATGAAAGATTTAAGTTTTTGTCATTTATGCCATAAAGATGACGACCAAGTCACTCTTGGAATAACTAGACGCTTTTCTATAGCAGCTATCTCCAACAATGACTTGACAAACACTAGCAACTCGGGAATTCGTGCTATATTTGTCTTCGACAAAGGTGAGTTTCCTAATCACTTGGTAGATGGATTAATTGCTAAGTTCAAGCTTTTGAAAGTGCTGGATTTTGAGAATTCTTTGTTGAATTCTATTCCTGATGACTTGGGGAATCTTTTCCATCTAAGGTACTTGAACTTAAGTCATACAAAAGTTACGATTCTTCCCAGATCCATCGGTAAGCTAGTCAACTTAGAAACTTTGGATCTAAGGCAAACTCGAGTGCATGAGTTACCTGAAGAGATAAACAACCTCACAAAGCTAAGACTTCTTCCGGTTTATTATAGAAAATATGAAAGGCATTATTCTATGTTGAACTTTACAATAGGTGTGCAAATGCAAGAGGGTATTGGGTGCTTGATATCTTTACAAAAACTTTACTTTTTGGAGGCAGATCATGGTGGAATAGACCTCATCCAAGAGCTCAAAAAGTTGAGACAGTTAAGGAAGTTAGGCATAAGGCGCGTTCGGGGAGAATATGGAAATGCATTATGTGCTGCAATACAAGAGATGAAGCACCTTGAATCTCTAAATATTACTGCTATAGCTGAGGAGGAAATCCTTGACTTGGATTTTGTATCAACTCCGCCCAAACTTAGAGTGCTCAACTTGAAAGGTAGATTAGCAAACTTGCCTAATTGGATTCCAAACCTCAAGTATCTTGTGAAGCTAAGGCTTGGTTTATCTAACTTCCAAAATGATCCACTAGACTCTTTAAAGAATTTGCCAAATCTGTTGAGGTTGAATTTGTGGGATGATGCATTTGCTGGTGATAGTTTGTGCTTTAAAGTTGGAGGGTTTCCTAAGCTGAAGGAACTTGATCTCACTAGATTGAATAAACTAAGTTCTATCACTATTGAAAAGGGGGCTTTGCTCAGTCTTCATCATTTCAGATTTAACAACAACCCTCAATTGAAGGAGGTTCCGCAAGACCTTCGACACTTGGAAAACCTTCAATTCCTTGGATTTGCTGATATGCCACCTGAATTGGTTGAAAGCATTGATCCGCGCAGAGGGGGAGAATGTCATTGGATAATCGAGCATATTCCTCTAGTACTCATTCGGCAGAAAGTAGGATCAAGATTCCATGACTATGAGTTGTATCCTATTCCTACTATATCTAATGTCTGAACTATCAAGGTACTATTTCCTCTTACAATCTAATGCTTCTCTTGTTAATGCCATCACCACTCTAACCAAAGTATATATTTTGATAGTTGTGTACATGTTCATGTGAGCAGGTTCATATTCTTCATGTTGCAGCTGAGATGAAGATGCACTTTGTCTCTTCATTCCTTCTATGGTGTGCTTAATAAATAATTTCCTTGAATTGAACCATCTGCTATATGATCAAGGAATCTGTAATCTATTAATAGACCAATGCTTATGTTTTCTGTCATTTATTAATGGTTGTTGTGTGGATGCTTTTCTGTAGACGGTAGAAAGGATGTTTCAATTTGCTATGAATGAAAGAAGTATGTTATTTACAGGATGTGTTACATTGATGAATTAGTTGCAGCATAGTATTATAATGGATGCATATTTGTCTAGTAGAGTACTCAATAGTAAGCAATTAAGACAACACTGATTCATTATTTGTGGTTAATGAAAATTATTGATTCCACAAACCATATAATAATAATAATAATCCTAAATATATAAAACTCATTAATTTCTTTTGCGGTTGGAGTGATAAGGCAAAATTCATGCAATCTCTTCGTAAGGATCATTTGGGTGCACTAATTTAAATTTTGAGGCATGTTATCTATGACAGATTGCGGAAAATAGCGGCGAATCAAACCAAAAATCCATCATAAAAACAAAAATTTTAAAGTAAAACAACACGTTTCTAAAAAAGAGAAAATAAAATATGAACAGTGATATTAAATTCAAACAGACAAATATCTTAAATATTGAAACATGTCCATGTTTCAATATGTTGAATTAAAAAATTTCTCAAGTCCTACATTGTTAGAATATTTTTTTTGGTTGAAAAAAATCATTTAGTACCACATTGTTCATGTGAGAAATATTAACTATCATACTTCACTATATAAAGAGTGCATATGTTTCATTCCAAATCACACCAAAAACTATTCTATTAGTTTTTTCCTTTCTCACTCTTATAACTCTGTGTCTCTCGAATTGTCGAAGCGCCATCTTCTTCCCCTTTCTTCCTATTCGTTGAATTTTCCGAGTATTTTCTTGAATTCTCTTTAGAGAATTATGTTAATTTCTCCTCGTTTGAGTTTAAGAAATTATTATGACTGGTCTTTGTACCAGATACTACGAGTGGTGTTGATACCATATTTGAATGGTCTTGTACCATCAGAGGATGTATTTCTAGACCGATTATCTATCATGCAAGTAGTAATCGTACAGTATAGAACTGAGTTGTTTTATCCTGGAGGTGGCGCGGTAGTTTGACTGCTTTGCATAATTTTTTAGCAGTGCTGCGAGGCGTCTTAAAGAGAGCGATCTAGTCCGCGACTCAACCTGGTAATTTCTTCTGTGGCAAATCTTTCAAAATCTGAAACCAACAATTTTAAGACGTTTCAAACTGTCATGGCTACCGAAGAAATTATTGGTTCTTTTGCGGATATTGTCTTTGAGAAATCGTTCATGTTTGAGAGAAGTCACTTCAAACGTTGGCAACAAAAGATGAAGTTCCTAACGTTGAAAAAAGTTGTTAACGTTCTGATCGATGACATTTTGTTGCTCCTTCTAGGAAAAATGGAACAAACTAACGGTAGTAAATTTGGAGATTTAGTAGAAACACTTAATAGTGTTGAAGTTGAATCTGTTGCACAGATTAAAGCGAATGATTTACAGCATAGTAAGGAAATCACCTTATAGAAAGAGAATGAAAATCTCTACAAAATCATATTTTGAATAGACTCGCAGATGATCTGTATGATAATTACAGTTGATGTGATACTGCAAAACAAGATTGAAAGACTCAGAAAAAGAAGTATGACGTAGAAGCTGGAGCAAAGAAGTATGTTGTTAGCCGCTACTTCAAGTATCAAATGCAAAGATGTAAGGTCGATGGAGGCTTAATATTACGAACTTCAAAAGATTGCTTAAAAGATCATCACAAAAGGTATGTGTTTAAATGAACAATTTCAAATTGGTTTTATTATTGACAAACTACCCCATAGTTTGAATGTTTAAAAAAAAACAAAAAGGGAATCTTAGAGACAATATCAAAAAGAAAAGGTCTTGGTTGTTTCAAACAACAAAAAGAAATTCGGTGTAGTTCTGAAGTCATTTGGCAAATGATTAAAGAATCAGAACTACAATATTGCGTACCGAATTAAGAATGAGAATCCTTCTATGATCCCAATAGATCCAACTAGGCAACAACCACCACCTAAAAGAAATGACGTTGGTTTCTCTTTGTTTTAACTATGGAAAATCAAGTCATATGATTAAGAAATGTAGAAGTAAGGTTGAACTTGGTGTTGTCCCTAATGCACAGGTCAACCTGACTAATGGGCAATTTATTGCTATGGTCATTGAAATCAACATGGTTGATAGATATATTGGTTGGTGGATAGACACATGTGTCTCTCGTTGTGTCTGCTATGATCGTGTTATGTTTAAACATACACGAATACTAAAGATAAGAAAGTGTTGTTGGGAGATGGCCAGACCATGAATGTTGCTGGAATTGTAGACATAGAGCTAAATTTCACCTTCAAAAAGACTTTAATCTTAAAGAACGTTATGCAGGTTCCTAAGATTAGAAAGAATATTGTTTTTGGTTTTCTTTTAAATAAGACATGGTTTAGTTAGTCTATTGGGGTAGATTTATACGCCATTACGAAGAATGAAGTTTATATGTTTAAAATTTTTGTAAAGAATTTGAAAATGATATAATAAGAATTTACAGTGATAGATAGACTGTATGATTCTAGTCTATTAATGAATTTTATACATGGAATTGTACATGAAACGACTGCACCATACTATCTTGCAATGAATAGTAAAACAGAAAGAAGTAATAGAACTCTTACTGAACTTGTTGTTGCAATTATGATGAATTCTGGTGCTGCACCTCACTGGTGGGGGGAAATTTTATTGATTGTTTGCTATGTCCTGAATAGAGTCCCCAAGTCAAAATGTAAGATCTCTCCTTATGAGATATTAAATAAAAGACAATCAAACTTGTCTTATTTGAGAACTTGGGGTTGTCTGACTTATGTCAGAATTCTGGATCTGAAACGAGTTAAACTCGTTAGTAGAGCATATGAATGTGTTTTCATTCGGTATGCAGCAAACAGTAAAGCATATAGGTTTTATGAGCTAAAGGCAAAAGTGATCATAGAATCAACTGATGTTGAATTCTATGAAGACAAATTTACTTTCAGATTGAGAAATAGTGGGGGCACACAATCGAGTCACATTCATGTGATAAGAAGCACAGAAAGCAACGACAATGTAGAAACAGAACTTCGACAAAGTAAACGAGTAAGAGTTGATAAAGACTATAAGCCTGATTATGCGGCTTATAATGTAGAAGAAGATCCAATGAATCTTCAAGAAGCCTTGTCATCTCTGGATGTTTAGTTATGGCAAGAAGCTATCAATGATGAGATAGAATCTCTAGAATCTAACAAGACCAGACACTTAGTAGACTTGCCTCCTGGTTGCAAACCAATCGGTTGTAAATGGGTTTTGAAAAAGAAACTAAAACCTGATGGAACTATTGATAAATACAAGGTTCGCCTTGTTGCCAAGGGTTTTAGACAAAGAGAAAATATAGATTTCTTCGACACCTTTTCTCCTGTCACTAGAATTACATCCATTAGGGTACTTATTTCAATAGCTGCTATTTATAACTTAATAGTACACCAAATAGATGTTAAAACAACTTTTTTAAACAGTGACTTAGAAGAATAAATCTATATGAAACAACCAGAAGGGTTTGTGATCTATGGATAAGAAAACAAGGTATGTAAGTTAGATAAGTCTTTGTGTGGGCTAAAACAAGCTCCAAAGCAATGGCATGTAAAGTTTGATAACTTAATGATATCGAATGTGTACAAAGTGAATGAAAATGACAAATACATTTATTACAAATTTGATAATTATATTTGCACTATCATATGTGTATATGTAGACGATCTACTCATATTTAGATCAAACATTCAGGCCATTAATGATATGACATTGTTGTTGTGCAACAACTTTGATATGAAAGACCTCGGAGAAGTGAGTGTGATTCTTGGTATCAAGATCACAAAATCCGAGCAAGGAATTTCTTTGGATCAATCACAATATGTGAAAAAGATCTTAAAGAAATATAATTACTTTGACAGTAAACTTGTGAGCACACTAAATGATCCAATCGTGAAGCTGTTTAAGAACACTAGTGAAAGTGTTAGACAAACAGAACATGCAAGCATCATTGGAAGTCTTAGGTATTCCATTGATTGTACTAAACCTGACATTGCATATGTCGTGGGATTGTTGTGCGGGTTTACTAGTAGACCGAGTAATAAATATTGACAAGCTAGTGAGCGAGTCACACGATACCTTAAAAGGACCATGAATCTCGGTCTACATTATCATAGATTTCCTATTGTACCTGAAGGATACAATGATACAGATTGGAATACCTTATCAGATGATTCCAAAGAAACTAATGACTATGTATTCAACATAGCTAGATGAGTTGTATCTTGGAAATCAAAGAAACATACTATCCTGAGAATATAGCATTAGCGACTGCTAGTGAAGAAGCAAGTTGGTTAAGATGCTTGCTAACTGAGATTCCCTTATGGGAAAAACATATGTCAGTTGTGTTGATCCATTGTGATAGTACCGCGGTTATTGCAAAAATTGAGAACCGTTATTATAATGGTAAAATACGTCAAATAAGAAGAAAGTACAACATTGTTAGAGATTGTATCTCTAAAGGAGCTGTAAGAGTGGATCAAGTACGCACTGATGAAAATTTAGCAGATCCTTTGACGAAAGGATTATCTAGAGAGAAAGTCTATAATATATCATATAAGATAAGACTAATGCCTATAGGAAAATGAGTTGCTCATGATGGTAACTCGACCTAAATGACTGGAGATCTCAAGAAATAGGTTCAATGGGTAATAACAAGTTATGAGTAA